TCTGTCATGATTAAAACATTAACTTCACTCTTTAAGACCGTAATTGACTTGTATATATGTATTTAAATGTAACAGTATTTCAGAGATGAACAGCACTGTCAAAAACAACAACAACCTGAATTAGTCCTGGAACTGAAGCTAAGGATTATTATGTGTCACAGTGATTAAAATAAAAGCTGAAGAATAGACAAATCTTGGTTCAGTAATCGGGAAAAATGTTCTAGCAATTAGAATAGGTGAAAAGTGGAATGGACTATTAAATCTGTTAATTTCCATAGTTGGAAGAACTAAAACAGAGGTTAGATTCAGGCCTATGCCAGCCTATATGAAATTATGAGTAAAAAGGAAAAGGCACTGTACCTGGTGTAAGACAATAAAAGTTGTTCACCTGTGTGGCTGTATCCCTGTTTGGAGTTGATGACCTCAGAAGTTCATTTCCATTGTGACCTTGATAGAAATCAGTGTCCTAAATTATACTACTTATACTCAATGGAATACTATTTAGCTATTAAAAAGATGAGATAATGCATTGGGAGACAATATGGATGAGTTTTGTGGTGATTATGCCATGTGAATAAATTATAAAGTGAAAGACCATTACCATCAATTTCTATCATTTGTGGAATATAAATAACCAAAGAAACAAGTTGCAAAGCACAACAAAAATAATGCTTAGACTCTAGAAAACTAAGTGTTGCCAGCAAAGACAAGAGTGATGGCAGATGGAGGAAGGAGGATATAGAGGGTAAGGTGATAGTGTATTTGTATTGGACCTTTGGTAGAAGGCAAATGAAGTATGCGTATGTTGAAATATGAACTTGTACTCCCAAAGGTGTATATGTAAACAAATGGCCAATCAATAAAATTTTGATGGGAATAAAATTAGTGTCCTAGTTTCCACATAGATCACATTCACAGAAACATTATGCTACCATTAAAAGTAATGTGAGAGGACTTTCAATCTTTATTAGTGCCTCTCAAAAACCATTAAATGTGATCTAACTACAGTCTGCACAGCATTTTTGAAAAGACTCTTTCCTTATTTAAGCCTGTTCAAATACCTCATTCTTCTTAATTGCTTCAGAGGCTCTCACATGCTAACCCCCTAAAACTCTCTGAAACCTCAGTTCATGAGGCTTTCTATCTGTTTTGTCTCTTCCCTTCTTCTTTGTTTATCATTTTCCCATTTCCTCTCTCCATTCTCCAGATTCTATGAGATTTTCCTTTTTTTCGTTCTCCATATTTTATACTAGAAGAAAAAAAAATCATGTTGGAAAAGGATAGAACTTTCTTTAGATTGTGAAAGAATGGGGGGAGCTGAGCATTAAGGATAAAATATCTCCTTGTTTTTCCCTCTATTATTTCTCACTCTTTTTCTCCTCACCTGTTTTTCTGGTTCTTTAATAACATAGCCTAGACAATGACTGAGATAGACTGATTCATGGGTCATATCAGGAATATGGGTATTCGTGTTACTATTTATTGATTGGATCTTACATCTACAAATCTTATATTAAATCCTAATGAAAGAGCAAATTAAGTTATGTGAATAATCTCCATTCACAAGGATTTTACAGTCTCATGAGCCAGATTGGATAAAATCAAATGAAATAGATTTCAAGAAAGAAAACCAATACACAGTGAAAACTACGGCTGTCCACTCGTGAACAGCCTAAGAATTACCTGCATGTTGGGTGCACAATAAGAAAAGAACTGTGGGGAAATAATGAAAGAGTTCAAGAGAATGATAAGTATTGAGTAAATATTTAGATGAGGGAAAAGATAATCGAGCTAGGAAATGTAGTTCAGACTCCTTATATTAAAGAGTCAAAGTGGTATGTAGTCGATAGTGAATATAAATATTTGCTGCAACAGAGGGTCTAGACAGAGAGGGAAGTTTTTTTTTTCCCCTCAGTGGGGAGGCAACTCGCCCTCCTCTGAGTTCCCATGACACTTATTGTATGACTTCATTATTGATTTATCCCATTCTGCTTTGAGTTAGGTATCCATTTTTCTATTTCTTTCAGTAAACGTAAATGATAACTTCTAGAAGATAGAGACAGTCCCTCCCTCTGCAGAAATTTTCAGAGTTTAGCAAGTTGTGGTTGTTTAATAAATACTCACCGAATTAAATAGTTGATAGGAAATTACTCAGAGAGTAAGGAAGTAGGAAGGGATTGTGCTAAGTTTTATACTGGAGATTCCTGGAAGTTTAAACATGTCAGTGATGTGATCAAAATGAGATTTTGGGAAGGTTTCTGTTGGTCCTTCCCTTCTGTTTTGGAAGGTTCTATGGGAGGTAGATGATAGATTCATCTTTTTGGTTGTGTAGGCGTTGCATGTATATTTGGGAAGAGATGCTTCCTTTAAGATGATATGTAGTGTTGAATTTGGGCCTCCCCGGTGGCGCAGCGGTTGAGCGCTGGGTTGCGAGGCTGCCCGCGGCCTCTGCGGCGCTGGTTCGATCCCCGGCTGCTCCCGGCCACCGGAGGAGGGTCCCACATGGCGTGCAGATCTCTCCTGCGCCCGCTGCTCCCCTCGGCAGTGTGCTTCGGTCCTTCTGCCTGCTCTGCTCCCCTCTGCCTCTGGTGAATTCTCTCACCCTCCCGCTCTTCTGACTGTACCCAGTGCATGTATAAACAAAACAAACAAACCAGCAAACAAATAAATAAAGCATGCCTCTATTAAAAAAAAAAAAAAAAAAAAAAAAAAAAAAAAAGATGATATGTAGTGTTGAATTTGAAGCTAACTTTAGTCAATGGAAATTTTAAATAAATATGTTTACTTTTCTTGAGTTTTATGGGCTTGATCAAAGTACTTTTAGAATCTTATGTATGTGAATAAATTTCATAAGTGATTTTTGCCATATCTGGTCATAGTAGGGGCTATTACTGAGATCTTAAGTGATTTTTGGCATGTTTAAAATAATGTGTAAGCACGTGGAGTTGGAAAAAGTCTAGAATTAGGTTCCATGTTTATGCTTTAAAAAAGATTGTTTAGGGGCTCTCCGGTGGAGCAGCAGTTGAGTGCTGGGTTGCAAAGCTCCCCGCAGCCTCTGCAGTGCCGGTTCGATCCCCAGCTGCCGGGCTAGGGACCCACATGGCACACAGACCTCTCCTGCTGCCCGCTGCTCCCCTCAGCAGTGTATTTCGTCCGTCTGCCTGTTCTGCTCTCTGCTCTGACTCTGGTGAATTCTCTCACCCTCCCGTGCTTCTGACTGTACCCCAGTGCTTGTACAAATAAATCAATAAATCTTTAAAAAAAAAGATTGTTTATCAAATTTTATTCTTTTTTTTTGATTGAACAATGAGAGAACGAGTTCATCAAACTAATAATCCTTATATGTGTTTTAGGATATTTTAGAACATTTGCTGGCACTAATAGGTTTAGGTACTTCTATAAAGATTGTCTTCATCTAAAAATCATGTTCATATGAATTTCATATTAATAATATTTGACAAAGCTTTTCTTAGCTACTAATTGAAATTACACAGATAATAGCTATTGATTGCTGATTTCAGTCATTTTCAGTTATTTTTGTTTTGTCAGAATAGATTTAGATACCTATACATATATTCAGAGCATGTATTACATAATCAAAATAAAACACATGTGTTTTTTCAAAGCTTATCTAGGTTCATACATTTGAATCGATTCTGACAAAATGAGAAAAATAATTGAAAGCATTACTGAAATCACCAGTCAACAGCTTTTATTTTATTTGTACAATTTTAAACACACACACATATAGCTGCTGCATTTCTTAGTTTATATATTGAATGGAGTATATAAAACAAAGTTAAAGATTGCATTTCTGAAGGAAGAGCTACCTAGCATTTCTGCTAAAAGCTGATTTACCTATCCTGTGAATCTAGCTCTTATATAAAAGGCAATAGGTTCAAAATGATACAGTTCAGTTTCTAATGGGGCTCCAAATGTGAACTATTGGGTAGTTTATGCATAGCTACATATTTAGATTTATTTGGTTTGAAAAGAAAGGGCTAAATGTTGACAGGCAATAAGAAAATGAGAATTGAGAGAAAGGCTCTTCACCTTAATTTAAAAACAATAGGGCAAAAGTACAGCAGGTGACCTTGGAAGTATCCAAGTGATCCAAGTACTTTGTTATTCTAAAGCTGCCAGAAGTCAGATTCCTGCTCTCTGAACAAATAGGCATTTAAAGGACTGCAGCAAACTATATACATGGTATTCTTTTTCTTGGCTTCACAATTTTAGTTAATATATTTGACTTGTTGGTTTAATTCCAATGGCCCAGCTCATAAATGCAAGCTTTTTCTTTTGCGGGCTGGGAGAAACTGTCATAAAATAAAACTCTTTGACAGCTTGTCTGTTCTATTGTAAAAAGCAACATCCTTTTAAAAAGTGAGAACCCCCTAAGAGTCATGTGAAAAGAGGGTAGCACCACAAAAATTTGGGAATACATCAAGTAGCAGTTTGAAATATGCATTATTCCTAAAGAAATTTCAGTTACAATAGCATGAGTGTGTGAATTATATGACTTGGAGAAATAGAGAAAACTGAATGAACTATTTCAGAAAAGGAAGAACTGTAGCCACAAATATTTGCTCATTGTGATGCTTATTTTCTTAGCCCATGCGATGAAATTTCTGTTTGTTTATTGAGGAGTGGCTATTCTGTTCTCAGGTTGGGCAGTAACTGTCTGAATGTTTCTGTATGAATGAAAATGTCATTTACCAGGGAATGAGAAAGATAACATTTAGCAATGCCCTCTGATGTTGCTGAATTTTGAACTGACAGTCAGTTGTTTGGTAGTTGAAAATACATACTTCCCAAAGAAGTAAGGCTAGATTCTCTGAATATATTTTGTTCAACAGACCCCTCTGGCAGTTTTATGTTTTTGCATAGCTTGTCGGAGAGATTGGACTAGCTGAATGCTTCCTGGTTTCATTAGCATAACCCAGCCCACTTCAACACACGCCCAGAACTACCTCATTAGCCATTGGGATTGTGGCCAAAAACATAAGACTACAGTGAATATAAGGGGAATTACTGGCGACAGAGCTCTAGATCAACTTAACACTGAACCTTTTACTTTTCTAAGATCAGAAAAGTATCACATTAACAGGAACCATTTCTCCATTCCATTCAGATAAGAATTCCAGGTTTTAATCTATATCTTTTAACTAGAATAATTTGCTGCACTATAATAAGATATATAGTCCAGCTGCATATATTTGTTTCTGTTAATACCTTTCTCTCTCTCTCTCTCTCTCTCCACGCACCCCCTCATTGATTTATATTCTGGATAGCTTTGACATTGTAAACCACAGACGAATTGGAGCCTGGCATTGAAAGGAGGTGTTCTACAACATTTTTTTTTTTTTTGTCCAAAGAAGTTTTCTTCTACAAGAGGGAATCTGAAAAAATGACAGGGGCAAAAAGGAAAAAGAAAAGTGTGCTCTGGAGGAAGATGCCTACCCCTCATTGTGAAGATATTAAGCAGTGGTGTAGAAGGCGGCTACCTATTTTGGAATGGGCACCACATTACAATCTGAAAGAAAACTTGCTTCCAGACACTGTGTCTGGGCTAATGTTGGCTGTTCAACAGGTAACACAAGGTAATGTACTGCATTTGACTTTCCTGTTTTATGAAGAATAGATATCACTTTGGTTTGCTTTCTTGGAAAGAAAGTTTGACTTAGGAGCTACAATTGAGCTAATTAAGTGGATATTTTAATCAACTTTGTAGAAATAAGCACATTGACTCTCTGTATAAGAAAGTTTTCCTAGTTGCCTTTCTTTGCTAACTTTTAAATAACTATTAATCATTGAACCAATTTTTGAATGGCATTACATATTTACATTAAAATTCATTCTCTATAAGAGCAAAAGGTCAGTAATTGTTGGAGTTTTAATAGCTTGACCTTGCTGATATAGTTTCCTACGTTTGCTGAATGGAGCTATAAAATATCTCTTGGCTTGAACATATCGTTTGTAACCCTAATTAGCAGTACACAATTACCTGTTGTAACCTTGAGAGTTGCTATAAGCAAAGAACAGAGCTTTCTGTACATAAAGGAGGCTTTTTGCCAAGATCATTATTTGCAAAGAGAATCCTTTATGTCCTTAGAGCTTATGTTTTACTGCGCATGCTGATTTAATTCTGTATCACATTACGTACTGGATCTACTTCTCAATAAGAAATTTAAACTAGTAAGAAGTCTGATTTTAACTTTCCCAAAACAGATGCTAAATTTTAAATGTTATTCTAGATAGGTATTTCTCTTGATTAAGCTGTTAACTAGTATGCACAAGAAACTGTGAATGTGTGTGTGTGTAGGTGTGCGTGTATATATGTTTTCCTTACTGAGATGTTCACTGTATTTTTTTAACTAATTTGTGTAATAAGTTTCTACCTGTTGCAAGAAAAGGAACTGATTTCTCAGTCTTGAGAATTTGAAACACTTTCCTTGGCATAGAGTCTGTAGGTTTATATTTCCTTGCAGTTTCACTACCTCCCTAATTTAAACTATTATTCATACTGTTAAGTTATAAGCATATTTTTAATTGAATTATTCTGTAGCTGGAACAAACTAGTTTGTGTATTTGTGTTTTTAGTCAGATTAGGAACATGTGCACTGGTGACTTCACTTTAAGATCCATGACACTATCATACTTTATGGGATTTCATTTCCCTGACTAGGTTGAATTATATTTTTGATGACCCTTTTGTCAGTGACAAATTATAGTCATCTTTCAAAAAAGTGCAAAGTAAATAACAGGTTGGGACATTTTAACCTGTTGCTATTTATTTTTTTTTTTTTTTTTTTTTATAGAGGCATGCTTTATTTATTTGTTTGCTGGTTTGTTTGTTTGTTTTGTTTATACATGCACTGGGTACAGTCAGAAGCGCGGGAGGCGAGAGAATTCACCAGAGCCAGAGCGGGGAGCAGAGCAGGCAGAAGGACCGAAGCACACTGCTGAGGGAGCAGCGGGCGGCAGGAGAGGTCTGCGCGCCATGTGGGACCCTCCTCTGGTGGCCGGGGAGCAGCCGGGGATCGAACCGGCGCCGCAGAGGCGCGCGCAGCTTCGCAACCCAGCGCTCAACCGCTGCGCCACCGGGGAGGCCCTAACCTGTTGCTATTTAATTTTAAGTTCAAAATAAAATATTACCACCTACTTTCAAGCTTAAGTAATGAAATTACAAGGGCTTTTTCACCGGATCATTTCAGTATATTTTATACCTTTACTTTGCTTTAATTTATTGTAAAGTGAAAATAGTAATGTGTTTTTGAAAATAATTGCTTATTTTTGTGAAATATCAAGTTAATAAGGAAATTTTCGGATATGATATACTTGCTATATATCATCAGTGATAGCAGTTACGTGTAAGTCTTTGGTAGTTGATTGTATGGCTTTTATTTGGGTATGAATTTTGAGGTTTTTTGTTTTATGAGTTATGTATTTTACTGGTTATGGAGAAACACATTGACCAGCCCCTATTGATGAGCAGCACATTGAATATCGGAAAGTTATGAATCTGGTTGCTGGTGCTCTTGAAAGACTACAGGTGATTAGACAGGGCTACACAGCTAGAAAGATCTTATAGATTTTTGTTGGTGTATGAAATGAATCCTTCTAAGAAGTACCTATTCTTTTAAACAGTTCTCTCAAACATTCTCATACTTATCTACTATGGAAAGAAAAAAGTGAAATATCATAAGCTAGCATTTGCTGTGACAGGAACTATTCTAAAGCCCTTATATACATTATCTTCTCTTACCATAACAAATCCTGAGAGATAACAGTCTCTTCTTTATATTCCATGTGGGAAAATGGAGACTTAGAAAAGTAAGTAAATTTCCCTGGGTCTCATACCTGATAAGTGGTAGGGTCAGGGCTTGGTTCCAAAGCCAACACTCTTAACCTTTTATACTTTATACTCTACACTGCCAAAATAACTAGACTTTTTCATAATGCCAATGTTATTAGTAATAGAAGACATTTCTTTGGAAAAGTGCAAATATCATTCCCTTCAAATTATTTTTGCATTTAGTTTTCATCCTTGCAAGGGGAAGTGACAAGGAAAAGAACTACAGTAGGATATAGAGTAAGGAAGGCATTTGAATATTCATTACCTCCTATTCACAGCAGTACAATACAGGCAATTGTTATGGACTCCATTTCTTTGGGAAAGTTAGAAGAAAGAAGGGGTAATTTATTTACTGAAATATTGTTAGTTTGCAATGTTGTTGTTGTTGGTATTTAGGAAGTACAGGATCCCCCCTTCAGGTGTCTTTACCATACAGCACCCACCACCAAAGTACCCATTTACTCAGCTTTGTAACACACAATAGAAACAAGTACCTGTTTTCAACCCACTGATCTTTAAAGTATCTTTTCAGTTTTGTCTGAGCATAGTTGAATCACATGAAATTGTTGAAATCAACATTTTGGCCTATGAATATGGTAAGTTATATGGTTTAGTCTCACAGTTGTTTTTATTCTTCTTTCCTTAGAAATACTTTTGAAATTAAGAAACTAACACTTTAGTGCTTTCTATATGTCATATACCAAGTTCCATTTAAAATCATTTCATTAAAGTTTCTCAACTTTAAATACAAATGCTTGCTTATTAGCACTGACCTTGACTCCTATAGAATTTTCTGTATTAACTATACTCTTTCAAAACTTTCATTTGACTTTTAGGCATTGCTTTTTTGATTTCTTCTGGCTACCTTTCTGGCCTCTCTTCTTATGAGCTCCTGATGCTTTTACCTCTCACTCTATCAGTCCATTAAACATCAAGCCCTGGCTTTCTAATTCAAAAACATCTTAGGCTATTTTACCTGCATAAGAGGCTTAAAGCGTCATCACTGTGCTGATGAAATCTTCTCAACTGACGATCCACATCTTCAATTATACTAGCCTAGAATCTTCTAAAAGAACTTCAAATGCAATATTTAGTCTTGTAAAACAAACAGAAAAACAAACCAACCAAATGATACCACCATCTAAACAGAATTATAATAATTAATAATAATAACAGTAATTTTCAGGCACAGCTGTAAACACTGTAGTTAAGATTTCTTGACATAGAAAACGCTGAGGCTCAAAGAGGGTTCCTAACTTGACCAAAGTCACACAGCAAATAAATGGAAGATTTACAATTTGCACTGAACTAGTCTGGCTTCAGACACTGTGGTCACCTTTATATTAGACTACTTCTCATAGGGAGTCTTAAGAGTCATTCTCAACTCATTTTTCTTTACCCCTCTGCCAAGGTACATTTTATTTCTGTGTCCCAGATATCTTTACAATCAAGTCATCTTATTTTATGACCCCTGATGCAGCCCTCATTCACTGTCTGAATTATTGAAATCATCATCTTGTGGGTCTTTATTCTCTAGTCTATCTCCTACTATCGACCAAATTCCATCTTGCAACCAGAATGGTGGTTAAAAATATGAACATATCAATTCTCCTTTAAAATTTTGCAATAAAAAATTAAAAATTTTGCTGTGACCCTTTGTTTCCTCTAGAATAAAAGCCCAGTTCTTCAGAATAACCTATTATCATTAATAATCTGTGCTCCTTGATACAAAGGTCTACTTAACAAGATCTCACCTCTGAGAAATCTCTCCTCTAAGACTCCCTTTCAATCTCCTGGGAAATGTGTTTTTCTCCCTCCCACTCCCTTTGTACTTTTTACATATCTCTGTGATAGACTTTAACAAATTGTATTATAATATTTGGTACATCTCTTTCCACTCGGTATGCTCTGGAAACAAAACAATGTCTTAATCTTTATATTCTTACCAGCTTGTATATTGCCTAGCACATAGGAGAAGGTTTGCAACAAATGTTTCATAGAAAAATTAAAAACAATTTAGTTCCTGAATCCTTTCATTGCTCTATAGGGTAGCATGCTCCCACTCTAGGAAGGAAATTAAATTTAAACCAATTATTATGTTTTCCAAATGAATGTAATGAGGAAACTGATAGTAAAAAATACATAAAAATGAGTAATTAATTTCTTCCAATTCTTGTTACTTTTCTGAAATGTAGCATTCCAGATAAATCCAGTTAAGTAAGTTTCCTTTGTCCTAAAGTGTTAATTTTTCCTCAAGCCAACATTAACAAGTATGAATAATTCATATGAAAGTTCAAATGACTGGCTTCTCTTGAAAAGGGGGAAATTCATGGCCATATGGGGGCCCACATTCCCATGTGGTAAAAATCTGCTGGATGCTGTGGCATTCCCCTTAGACAGGGCACACACGTGCATTTTGCCACAGTTCCACTAACTCACACATGCACTGCCACTCTTTCAGCTGGTATTCCCATTCCTTGCCCAGTGATATGGATGCCTGAATTGTTTCCCTCACCAAGGCATTTCCTTGTTGTGTTGAAATGTCTTGAATTCACCTTTGAATAAAATTTGAGAAAATGGAACATTAGTTTCTCAACTTAAGCCCACAGGTCCTTCAGTTCTGTGAACCTGAACTAATGTATTCTAATGTAATTCTTTAAAAAAATAATTCTGTGTGTTTTCTGTTACTTATTTAAAAAAAGAGTATTCTGAGAAGGGGTCTGTTCTGTACCAAGGTTGTCAAAG